GGATTTTTACCCCCATCTTTGCTAACAGACCAGTCTAGGTTAGGTGACAAAAATCTTAATGTAATCAAGAAAAAAAATGTAATGTTCCAAAGAGTTAGGCAAGAAATTGTAGTAAATATATTTTTCTTTCAAATATTTCTTTGTCAGGCTGTTTAGCCTGAAGTTCACAAACTATACTTAACAAAATTTGCTTGTCCAAAATAAAATTCAATTTAATAAACATTGTACATTGTTTCATTGTATGATTATGTTTGTATGTTAAAATAAATGATATATGAATACGATATGGAATGTTATTATTTTCACAAGAAAAATATGACTAGACTAGCCTATTGTTAAAAGTATTTAAATATTATTTACTAAAGTATGCTTCAACTTCAATTACCTTTCATTATTAGATTTAACAAGATTTAAAATTTGTTTGTATTCTGGTGCTGAGCTAGGGAGATGTTCAATGTGACATCGCAAAGCACGGAACTTAGACTCAATACTGGAACGTGCCGAGAAGTCTGTGGCTTCACTCACGCTAACCATGTCCTTTAAAAGCTGTAAGCACATTAAAAAACAAGCTATGAATTGGAAATTAAACACTTAAGCTGGGGCAGTTGTGGATGCTCAATTTCAATAAAACAATGAGAAAAGGAGAAACAGGAGAAGCGCGATGGGAGGATAATAATTAACATCTCGACGAGATTTGATTGACGGATAAACCGACTATCCGACCGGCCGCAATTGTCTAAGGTTTTCGTGACTTTGTGAGCGGGGCTTCGCGTCCTTGTCAACATGTCAATTAGGTGATATAAGGAAGTGATTAAGAACATGGAGGAAGAGGTGGGCAGAGAAAGAGACGATGAGAATGTGGAGGAGGTAAAAAAAAGACAGTGGATGAGGTGGTGGTTGGGATTTTTTTTTAAATATGTAGAAGGAAGCTGAGAAGAATGTTGAAAAGAAGATGGAAAAGATAAAATTAAAAAAAAATGTATGGAGATAATATTTAAAGAAAATATGGGGGTGGTAAAAGGTGGTGATGAAAGATTTTGAGAAGGACGTGAAGGAGATTGAGGAGTAGATGGAAATGAGATTGTGCAGGAGTTGGAGGATGAAGATAATATGGAGGAAATAATGGCAGAGAAGGTGGAGGAGGTAGTGGTGGAGAATAAGTGGCAAAAAATACATCTCTAAAAATTAGTTTTGTAGTACATTAGCATAGGAAAAAAATGATTTCTTTCTTCTGAGCATTATCAAAATACTGAGGAGATTAAAGAATCTCATATCTCAACAATTTTATAATGTACTGTATCATAACAAACACCACTATAAAAATTAGACAGCTACATTACTTTGAATTGAATTAAAACATCAATTATAATGAAAAGGCTCTTTTACTTACTTGGCAAATGTCATGCATTTTGGAGAGCATACTTCTGTCTTCAATTGTACTAGTGTGACCTTTCTGAAGAGGTAATATCTCAAACAACTGCTTGCTTAGGCTATCGAGCTTGGTCTTCCTCTGACGTGAGTCAAGCTCGTGTCTAATCTGCAGTAGTGTGGATTCTGCTTTATCAACCTAATGAAAGAACAGCAAAAACAAAGTTCACTTGAAATGTATGATAGCTGTTGATGAGATATAACTCAAGCTTGAAAATTTAATTACAATGATGCTATCAATTTGTGTAAATTTAGGCTTTAATAATAACAACAAATGGCAGTCAATTCATAGAGTGCATAGAATTTATGAGGCATGTCTTGGCAAAAAGTATTCAGTAAAATGAGCTATAACTTATGGGAACTCAAAAATGACCTAAAAATCATTTTTTTTTCACTATAGATCAAAGTTTAATTCCTAATTAATCATGTCTTAAATTCTTAGTTCTGGTCTGGTCAACAAATTGTTTATTTAACATTATTTTGGTACTGTAGTTATTGCCATTAAACAGTGTATGCAAAAAAAAAAAAATTTGAAAGGCATTTACTCAAAATACACAAATCAATCGTGATGTTGGTAGTCTATGAGTGAGATACTTACCTGGATAACCTTCCCTCC